CTGCACATGATGTGTTCCATCTAGTCCATCCTGAAGGAGCACCCTATTTTGGTTTACAGAACAAAAATGAGGTCTAGTGCAAGGGCCAGCCTTACCTGGATAAGTTTAAGTAAAAGGCATTTAGTCTTTAAGAAGACTACCTCTAAATGGGCAAGGAAGATTTAAAAAAAGTTCAGAAGCCTTTAAAATTTGTTTACTCATTTTTAACAGCTCTACTGAAGAAGCCAAGACCTACTGAAACATACTTTTCTCTAGCTGCTTCATCAGGAATCCCTAGACAAATTTCTCGATCAAATCTTCCAGCTCGCCTCAGTGCTGGATCCAGCGAATCTGGCCTGTTAGTTGCTCCAATGACTAGGACCTGAGCAGAAGCAGGCAAATTGTTCAGATCTGAGGAAAGAAGGAAGAAAACAAATAAGTACTCACGGTATTGTATCTTCAGATTATCACTGTTTATTCTATTCTAGTTAAAAATGCATGCTGCAGGAAGTTACTCCTGATAGCTGAAAATAATATTTGTTGCTATGCTGAACTGCCAGCAATCCATTCCCCACCCCAGTTTTAACCATTTCCCTTTATTTTCACTAATAAGTTTTTGCACTGCACTATCACAGGCAGATATTTGTATGGGAAAGTATTTTGTGACATTCTTTATTTTGCTTTCCCAAAAACAAGATTTCCCGCATCCGGGACATTACGGAGAGGATCCCAAAGCTCCTTAAACCCACAGACCACTATCCCATGCTCCTTATTCATGTGGGCACCAATGACACTGCTCGGAGCACTCCCAGCCAGATCATGAGGCGCTACAGGGATTTGGGAGCGGGGCTTAAGGGTCTGGGGGCACAGGTGGTGTTCTCGTGGATCTTCCCAGTCTCAGGCTATGGGCTGAGAAGGGACAGGAGGATCTATGTGGTCAACCAAAGACTTCAGCGCTGGTGTCGTCAGGAAGGCTTTGGCTTTCATGACCACAGCCCGCTCTTTGGCGAGAGAGGCAGCGAGCTGCTGGGAAGAGATGGCCTCCACCTCTCTCCCCTAGGGAGGAGGCTCTTCTCAGCCAGACTGGCTGACCTGGGGGGGACTCCCGCCACTGCTGGCCTGCTGAGCAATCCTTGCAAAGCCAGCGGATCACGGCGCTTCAGGGAGCCCACCCCTGCCCCAGCCCTGGTAAAATCTGTGGGCAAGGAAGGAGCCCCCCAGGGGGCACTTGCCTGCCTGTACACTAATGCCAGGAGCTTGGGGAATAAGCAGGAGGAGCTCATCCTCCTGCTCAGTGCAAACAATTATGATGTCATAGGGATAACGGAGACCTGCTGGGACTCCACCCATGACTGGACCACGGGTATAGATGGCTATACCCTACAGACTCCATAGTTTGGACATAGAAGATTGTTTGGTAAATCTGTGCTAAGGCTAGCTCTAGGTAGAGGTAGTTGCCTTAAAGAAAATTAAATGAATAATAATTTTGCATTTTTTTTTTAATTCAGGAAACTTCTGGCATGATTTAGTCTCACTTCCCAGAAGGTATCCGATGCAATGCTCTCCTTCTCGAACACGTACTCCTAGCAGCACGTGATTGTTTCCCATTAGTGAAGTGGTCCAATAACTGCCTTCTTCTATGAATAAACTAGAGCAACCCTAATTTAATTTTGAGGAAAGTAATTTCACTCTTGTTTATCTCCTGGAAACATACCTCCTCATTATGGTTGATGAAATTGTGACAGCATCATGGCTGGTCTTGTTCAAACTTAGATTTGCGGTCAGAAATGAAAAAGACCTTCATGCACTAACGTTTAATTATAAAAGCACTTTTTGCACTACTCCAAAACCAAACCCATAGTTCTGTGTATTTGGCTTTTTTCTCTTTCAGGTAATGATAAAGAGGTGGAGAACCAACCTTGGCCAAATCTGTACTTAGTTCTGGGAAAGTCTGAGTTTTGGCAAATATGCTGAGGAAAATGTAATGACCAGCAAACCTGAGGCTGAGGCAGCCCAACATTTTATCTCCTGAGTCTAATTTCAAGTTTTCTGACATCTCTTAATTGACTTCAGTGCATGCATTTGATGGCATCACTTTAGTTTTCCAGAAATGCTTGCACAGTTTGGAGGGGGAAAAGAAACCATTTTCTGAGTGGATACCAGCACTGCTGTAACTATCAGTAGTAGATTCATGGCAGAACATGCTCAGATTCCCAGCAACACTGAAACCAACCACAATTTTTTCTTTGAGGTTTGAGATGGTTTGGACTATTATTCTTCTGAAGAGTAGAAAATAGGAGGATACTTTTAACCTATTAAATAGGTACTTTGCGTCAGTCTTTCATCAGTCCCATGGGACGCCCATGCCCGCTACAGGGCCGGGAAGTCCGGGTGAGGGTGATCCCCTGCCCTCCATTAATGCTGACTTTCTGAAGGAACATCTTGAGAAGCTGGATACCTTCAAGTCAGCTGGCCCTGACAATCTTCACCCCAGGGTACTCAAGGAGCTGGCGAGCATCATAGCCCAGCCTCTAGCACGGATCTTTGAAAACTCTTGGCGCTCTGGTGTAGTGCCCGAAGACTGGAAGAAGGCCAATGTGGTGCCTATCTTCAAGAAAGGGAGGAAAGTGGATCCGGCTAACTATAGGCCCATCAGCCTGACTTCTATCCCGGGGAAGATCTTAGAAAAGTTTATTAAAGAGGCCATCCTTAATGGACTGGCCGACGCCAACATCTTAAGGGATAGCCAGCACGGGTTTGTTGCGGGTAGGTCTTGCTTGACCAATCTCATTTCCTTCTACGACCAGGTGACCTATCACCTGGACAAGGGAGAAGAGATTGATGTCATATATCTTGACTTCAAAAAAGCCTTCGATCTGGTGTCCCATGATCGCCTCTTGGAGAAACTGGCCAATTGTCGCCTTGGGTCCTCCACGATCCGCTGGCTGGAAAATTGGCTCCGGGGTCGGACCCAGAGGGTAGTAATCGATGGAAGTCACTCATCGTGGTGTCCTGTGACCAGTGGGGTCCCCCAAGGCTCTGTCCTTGGACCCATACTGTTCAACATCTTCATTAATGATGTGGACACTGGAGTCAGAAGCGGACTGGCCAAGTTCGCCGATGACACCAAACTTTGGGGCAAAGCATCCACACCAGAAGACAGGCAGGTTATCCAGGCTGACCTGGACAGGCTCCGCAAGTGGGCGGATGAGAATCTGATGGTGTTCAATGCCGATAAATGCAAGGTTCTCCACCTTGGGGGGAAAAAAACCCACCGCATCCTTATAGGCTCAGCAGTGCTATGTTGGCTAGCACTATGGAAGAAAGAGACTTGGGGGTCATCATTGACCACGAGATGAACATGAGCCTGCAATGCGATGCGGCGGCTAGTAAAGCGACCAAAACGCTGGCTTTCATCCATAGATGCTTCTCAAGCAAATCCCGGGACGTCATTCTCCCCCTGTACTCGGCCTTAGTGAGGCCGCAGCTGGAGTACTGTGTCCAGTTTTGGGCTCCACAATTCAAAAAGGATGTGGAGAAGCTTGAGAGAGTCCAGAGAAGAGCCACGCGCATGATCAGAGGTCAGGGAAGCAGACCCTACGATGACAGGCTGAGAGCCCTGGGGCTCTTTAGCCTGAAAAAGCGCAGGCTCAGGGGTGATCTGACGGCCACCTACAAGTTTATCAGGGGTGACCACCAGCATCTGGGGGAACGTTTTTTCACCAGAGCGCCCCAAGGGATGACAAGGTCGAATGGTCACAAACTACTTCAAGATCGTTTCAGGCTGGACATAAGGAAGAATTTCTTTACTGTCCGAGCCCCCAAGGTCTGGAACAGCCTGCCACCGGAGGTGGTTCAAGCGCCTTCATTGAACACCTTCAAGATGAAACTGGATGCTTATCTTGCTGGGATCCTATGACCCCAGCTGACTTCCTGCCCTTTGGGTGGGGGGCTGGACTCGATCTTCCAAGGTCCCTTCCAGCCCTGATGTCTATGTCTATGAAGATGCATGTGGTATGCAAGAAAATAAAGTAAAATATTTTTCCAGGTCATGGTCTAAGCTGACTGCCTGAAATGGCTTGCTTACTCTCAGCCAGCCCACTGGTTGCTGCTGGCAAAGTTAGTTTTAACTCATTCACTGCCACTGCCAAATTGACAGCAGCTTTTTGTTGCTTAGCCAAAGCTACTGCCAATTCAGCAGCAGTTGAGAAAAGGCAAAACTAACTGACACTGCAAAGTATACTCTGCCCTCTCTCTCTCTGAAGCCAGAGAGCAAAGCAGACCCCCTGCAGCCACAACAGTTCCAAATGCAGCTAATTTCAGCATTTCCATCCTTCAACTTCAGCACAGATTTCAGCTTTCCTCAAATAATATACAGGAGTAATTCCCCCTCATATTGAAAAAAAATACCCTAAGGGTAAAATACCACATATATTTCTAGAGCGTGTAACACAGAACAAGAAGTTAATACCACTATATCCCCAGAAATTAAGACTGTTATACTGGATTTGCAAGGGTCCTTTAAGGTAACAAAGAATTTAAATGAAAGGGATTTTGGCTGGGGCACCAGAGTTAACAACCCTTGTTCCTAAATGAATGCCACAGAATTTTCAATCATCACAGCTAGCTAAAATCAGAGAAATTAAAATAAAGACAGAACTGGATTTCAGAAGACAGGCTAGGTTTTAGAAAAAAAAAAATTATTCTTGAAACTGACCATCCATGCAGGTTAGTAACTGGGCCACAATTCTTCGCTCCATGTCTTTCGATGCAACTTCCCTCTTTGGGGTGATAGCATCAATCTCATCTATGAAAAGGATGCATGGTGCATTGGACTAGGAACAAGAACATCACCATAATCACTATAAACACACACAGCATATTACAAACATTGCAACAAATTTAAGGAAAGGGGTTTCCAGTTTAAAAGTTAAGAAAATATTACTGCATGTGCTGCCATTTACTCTGAACAACAGCCCTGTGCCAAAATAACCATAAATAATCCTTATCTATTTTTATTTTCCATCACTGGAACAACCAAATATAGAATGGAATTGTGCATAAGGCATGAGGTTTTTCTTTAAAATATATAATTATGGTCTATAGATCCTGCACTCCAGCAATCACTTTTTCATTTGAAAAAAAGTCATATTTACTTGCATATCACATGCCCTACATAGCTTTATGAACAAAGAGCATGGCTGAATGCTGGCCCCAGGATGTAAGGGCAGAGCTCTCTCCTCAACATCACTCATCATCAGAACTACAGTTCTACTGTTCAGTGGCTGTAATATGGTTAAAACTACCTGTAACCCTGAAGCACTCCGATTCTCCCTCCTGGGCGAATCATTACCTGCTTTGATTACTGTGCAGAAAATTAGCTCCCACACTTAAAAAGCATACCTATTTTGCAGGGCTGATTTTTTGGAAAAAAGGTGCACGTAGTATGAGAGTAAATATGATGCTCAAGTTCAAGAATATATGAACCAGCTAACTTCTTAGCACCAATACTGTGATATCTGGAACGCTACCAGTACTAGCTGTGCAATGGAATAAGAAGGAACGGCAAAAGATCAATGGAAAACTTATTTGCCAGTTCTGAGATTAGAAGATAGCCTCTTGACTGTAATCTGAGTTAAAGCAGGAAGTATATAAATCATAATAAGGTTTTATAAACCTTTTGTTCCCTAATTCACTGTTCTTAAAAGGTCAATATTAATCAAAAGCAGCACTTGCAGGACTCCCTGAATCACCTATGTGCTTAACAAACTCTAAAGCTAAAAATGTGTATTGAAGGCCAACTCTTCCCTGCTGGATAGAGAGGCATTTATGGACTTGAACAGACAAACTTTCAGAGTTTAAAAGCAGAACTCCACAGCCATCAGGCCAATGCAGTATTATTTCTCTGAGTCCCTCAGAATAACTGATATAGCATGAACATTATTTTGCTAAGAGGATATCATAGAACAAAAGGCAGTCTTATTCATGAGAAGCAACCTTTGAAAAACCAGCTTAAAAAAAAAAAAAAAAACAAGCATCAGTGGCTTAAAAAAAAAAAAAAAGCAAAAAAAAAAAAGCAGAGAACTTTTTTTTAAAAGTCAAAACATGCTGCACACAATAAGTATCCTTAAGAAAATAATACTGTTAAGAGTTAAGGCAAGACCATGTAAACTCAAAGGATATTTAAAAACTTTTACTATTTTATTCCATAGTTTAGTTATTTACTTATTGTTTGCACGAATGGAGTTTTACGATAAAATATTACACCTTGGCTTCATATTAAGGTAGAAGGCAATGTGACACTTTGGTATTGCTGCTCTCCCAGCATCCCCCTGAAGAACAATGGTATATGTCCCCAGCTTAGTGGTGATGGAATGGAATGGGATGGGAAAACAGAATATTTTCTTAATATACCTTATGGAAGCCTTTCCCAGATAATAGGATACCAGAGATTTTATTTACATGTTAAAAATCACTATGTGAAAGCACCCTAACTACTCATGCTGTTCTTTTCTTGTCATCAAGAACAAGGTGGCTTACACAAAACTCCTCGCACATCAGTGTTTGATCATAATCAACCCAGCCTGTAATATGGAAATACTGTTGTTTTTAAAGGCAGCTCACACATAGGAAAATTTTGATCTTAACTTTTTCTCCTTGGATTCATAATAACTCTGCCTGCAGTCTCTTCTTTCATACTAAAAAATCACTGTGTCCAAATCAGTTCTAAGAGACATCAGCTTCATAAAGCATAATATACTGCCCCAGCACAAATAAAAGCCAAGTATTTTAAGTAGTGAATTGCCATGGACAGCAGCCTATACTTTAATATTAGTTTTGTCATCTTTTAAAGAGAAAGTGCATTGTTGGTTGCATTTTGTAAAGGTCCAAGCACAGCAGGGTCCGTATCCACTACTATGGATGCCTCCAGGCTCTAGAACGCTACTAATAAATACTAACAAGTTGTTCAAATTCAAACTGCAGCAATGGAACATGTAGATTTAAAATGTTAAGGAACTAAGGCACAAGCAATTTTATGATGAGAACATTGCCAGCTTGCCATACCACAGCATGTTCAAACAATTCTCTCAGCTTCTGTTCAGATTCCCCTGACACTCCTGACACCATCTCAGTAGCTGCTACTTTGAGGATTGGTAGTTCAAGCTCCTAAAAATAGGCAAGGAAAAAAAACCCAACCTGTTATGAAACCTCCAGAACGTAGAAATATCACCCCCCACCTCCAAGCAAAACAATTTCCTTGAAAAAGTTATATAGACGAGGTATTTAAGATTGTGTCTTGTTTATGGAATCTGTGTAAAGGACTCGATGTGGTATTTTCCCCATTTCCAGAAAATCTGAGCAGTACTGCGTTAAAGATCACTGAATCTCTAGCCTCCCTTTTTAAGGGCTAAATATCATTGTTGCTGATCAGGAAAGAGTTGGCATACTGATGCCTGATCCCTAAGAAGAATCCTGATGTCAATGTTAGAGAGTAAATCTGTTTTTAAAATTCAATCTCACCTGATGAAAATTAAAACTCTTTTTGATCTGGTAAACCTCCAACACATAAATAAATATTATGGTATTAAATTAATCCAAGTTGTCTAACAGCTACCATATTAGGATAATTTTTATATTTAAATTTCAAATGGGAATATTTTGACATAGATATTATACATGAACTATGCATACATACAGAGATTATATCTACACACACACACAGATCTCTCTCTCTCTCTCATGTATAATATCCAAGCCTAAATATTCACATTTTAAATCTGAAAAGGGCATAGTCAACTTGTTTCAATAAAAGTTTGAGAGGTTCTGAACCTTTCTGAAGCTTTTGAAGAAAAAAATGCTGTGCCCTGTTAATAATTTATATATAATGTTTAAACATAAAAAATTATAACCTGTGGCCATTTCAGTACAATATTAAAATCGAAAAAGAAAGCCCTGATAATAGGGAGCCTCCATTTATGCTCAGAAGAGGTGAAAAGGTAGGAACACTGCAAATGCCACAGTGCCACCAAGCTCTCTCTACCCTGATTTGCAGATGTCCTCCATAGGGGAAATGGCAGCTTCAACATAACAATCTTTGATGCTTTCTATTAACAGTTTAAAAAAGGATACAAGGGAAGAATTCTTGTGGGTGATATCTTTTATTGGACTAAGCACTTGATCCAAGTAAAAGATATCACCCATGAGAATCATCGCCTCTTGCATAGGTCTTGGATCATCACAGCACCAACATCACATCAATACTAGCAAATAAATAAATAAATAAATGTAATTTGCCGTGAGAACTTTTTGATAAGGATAAAGACCAGCATCTTATTTGGTCAGACTTGTCACAACATCCTACAAGTGTTTCTGTTTTAAGGTCAGGCTTAAAACTGTTGGAGAAGAGTTTCGAATAATCAAACTAATCCAATATGTGGCCTGTTTGAAGTCTATCCCTTATCTTACTTCCTTGGAAGCATTTGCCAAAAATAAAATCCATCTCTTAATACTGACACATCTCTTTTTGGCTGAAAGACACATTAAGGTTAGATTCAGACTGCATTGCTGTTACTTAACTTCTAATGAACATGTGTTATTCAGGAAGGAGACAAGAGAAATCATTCTTCTCTTGACTTTTATTTAGTCTAGGGGTGTCACACTTGTCTTGTGCATGAGGCTGCATCCAGACTGCAGGGTTGTTCACACACTGAATCCAGCCCAGAGTACAGGGTAGCTGTGACAGCCACTGTGGCACCAGCAAGTCAAGTGGCCATGGACCAGGAGGGCCCCTGCCATGGTGGAGGTGGCACAAGTAGCTGGGGTCAGGCAGCTGCAGGCAACAGGGCTGCATTACCAGACCCTCACTCACCCCTCAATAGCCCTGTTCACCAGGGCCCTAGATTCTGCAGCAGACCTTGCCTACCACTAGCCAGGGCCTGAATTCTGTGGCCCACCAGTAACCCAGCAGGGTGAAATGGAGTGGCTTTGAGACAGATATGGCCCACAGACCCATGTGTTTCATACCCCTAATCTAGTCTATAACAAAGGTGGATTCTTTCCCCTCTACCTGACCCAATTATGATTAAAGGCAGACATGAGAAACAAAGCCATCTCACCCCAGCAATCGCCTGTGCTAGTAGCGTCTTTCCACATCCTGGTGGTCCATGTAAAAGAAATCCCCGAGGTGGGACCACACCTAAGTGGTTGTAGACTTCAGGGTGACGTACGTGTATCAGCATTTTACAGACTTCCTGAAAGGAATAAGAAACTCCCATTCTGACAGAAGAAAATTAAGTTACACATGACAATGCTGATCACAGAAACTAAATTATGTGTCACTATCTTACTCCAGTGGTCATGAGAGAGGTGAATCAGGGTGAAGGTCTATGACGAGCCCTACTGCTCTATGTGAGAGAGAACTGTGGATATTTCCAAGCAAAATCAGTATTGTTCTCTCATTCAACATACCAAGATTCTCCCCACTTCGTTCTCTATTCCGCAAACACCCTTAGTTGGTTTTAATAAAAATCAAGACTAACCTTCAGCGTTTCATCATTGCCTCCCACATCTTCAAATTTCACTGAAGGGTGAAGCAACTCTGGTCCTTTAGATTTAGCTAAAGAAAGAAAAGAAAAAAACTGAATTACTGAAAATGTGGACATACTTACAGTAATGGTGGATTTTAACCGCAAATAAAGACACCAACATTAACACTTGGATTATACAGATCAAATTGCATATTTATCTAATAATCAAAGTACTTAAATATTCCACAAGGGCTAAATTCCTTACTGAATTTTTTCAGACTCAAGTACCACAGCTACCTGGCAGGTGCATGCCTGGAAAGCCACTCAAAAAATAACAGCTTTCACCTTTCTGCTTACGCAGTGCAGATTGTATTTCACCATCTACATCCTGGGAATCCTCTTTCCTTCGTCTTTCTCGCTTACCCTTTGTCTTCCTTCTTTCACTCTCCAAAAGAGAGAAATCTTTTGATTTCTAGATCACAAGAAAACAGAATGCAGCAATCAATCTAAAAGGCGAGGCTGGGGTAAATCCCTTCTTGCATGCAAATTACTTTATTACTTTGTTTTTTATTAAAAACCAGTGACAACGATTTTCATCTTTTTCCAACAAAGGATTGTATAAATATTACCAAAGCAGACAAGTGATCCAAGAACAAAGGCTTAATACAAGCTATTGCTTTTTACGGATCAAAAAATTATCAAAAAACCTCACATTGTTTCATTTATCATTGAAATGCAGTTACCTCCAGGGTTAAACAGACTAGCTATATAAATAAAAACAAGTGTGTATTTCACACTAAAGGCTCATGTTTTTTAAAATGTACAAACTTTCCTCTGGGGCAGGGTGTAGATGACAGTTTTGTTCTACATATTGACCTTCAAATGACTATCAAATAAGGTAGAAAATGTGTACATGCAACCTAGTTAAATGTTATCAGGTCTGTAAGACACAATACCTCAGAAATCAGTTTTTCTTCATTTCCTTCCTCACAAAGGTCAGTGAAAAAGTCCACATCTTTTCTACTTGGGTTTTTATCAATAAACCAGCCACCTTCAGAGATTCTGGTCTCAAGTGGAGTTCCAGAGGTAAGGGCACTTGGTTGGGGTGCTGTCACTTGAACAGGGGTGCTTGTTTCTGTCAGCTCATTCTTTGGAGTTCCTGGGACAGAATCAGGATTTTCTTTCCGGTATAAGGTCAACAAGGAGCTGTTCATGTGATTCTGAGACTGAGGAATTTATGTGTTTAAAAGAAAGTTTTAAAACAAACAAACAAACAAACAAAAACAAAAACTTAGTAGGATGCAGAGATAGAACTTTAGTTTCTCACATTCAGAGCAGCATTTATTGGAAAAGTTGCACACAGGAACAATTCAACACACACCACTTGGCCCTTAAAAGTCTTGTTTACACTAGAAAGTACTCAATTGACAGCGTCTCCCACTCCTCAGTTGACTATGTAAGTACAGAAGTGTTGCATTTGCCCATTAGAAGACAAAAACCTTTGCAACTTGCACTGGAAGCTAAGTTTTTATCAACTGCGCGCTAGCATAGATGCAACTATCAGCTCTGCACCATTAACTGATGATAACTATCAGAATGGATACTTCTCTCAGTCAGCAAAGCTTTCAGAGCTTACTGGTCAAGTTTTCTCTCTGCCTTCTGCCCCTGCCCTCCAGAAGTTTGCCTCCCTCAGAAATAGCCCCAACCCATAGTCCTGCCATAGTCTTCTCAGGAAAATAACTTCATGTCCTCAGCTGGGAAACCACCTGCAAATTGCTAGTTCTGGTTGTACTCCTATCCACACCTCAGCCCCAATTACCTCCCTCTATGGAGTTCTAGCCTATCTTTCCTACTTGGGAGGGACAATTAACACCACATCCAAGGTCTGTTCAGGCCTTTCCTTCAGGCCACAGTTTTATTCTTCCAACTCAAAACGGCACACACAAAGTTGCTCCTCTTCTCAAAGCAGGCTGCAGGGGCCCAACAGCCTGTCTCCCTGCTGCTACCGGGGCCTACCGTGGGCCCACTGCTACCTGTAGCACTTCCCCAACTGAGTCACTTAATGGCTTTCATGATCAGTTGTCTATTCTCAGATGAAAAGCAGCTGATGAGTCATGAGAGGCTGGGCCTGCTCCACTTAAAGGGCAATGCCCTGTGACACCTGCCCTTAGCTATGCTCTCCTTCCCATCCTTAGTAATGCCTCATACTTGGTCTATATCACTTCTCGGCCAGTAAAACTACTGATGAGTTGTCATCCAATATTTTCAGAGCCAGCATATCACCAAGAACAACTGAAACAGTAGAGGCAATTCTCATAGCTCTTCAGTTGCTATTCAAACTCCTCCCTCCCAGCCACATTAACAAGAGAGGAGTTAGAAACTTATAGGTTTAAATGCTGGCATTTACCACTTCCAGTCCTCGGGCTGCAGCCTCAGCATATTACCTGGAGATTGCTGGATGCTGCGTCCATTCTGATGAGCTACTCGTGATGAATCAGAAAGCCACTAGGAAGGACAACAACTGGAGAGAGGCACAACCAAGCAGAAGGGTAGTGGTATGGCCAATGGGGAACACTGTGGGAAGTATGATTCCTAACATGCCCACTTAAAAAACAAACACCAGGTGGTAGCAGGAAAATACCTATTTCAAAATGCGTCTCTCACCAACAATTGGATGAACTCTAAGCCACTGTTTGAGCCTCTTCATCTAAAGAGTATCCATTTATTTACAGTTAGATCTTAATATTCTTGGATGTTTTAGGTAAAACAAACTGAGATTTGTAGAGCTACAAGGGTGTGTTAATTTGTATTATATATGGAGAAAAATATGACTCACTGGATGTTCTGGATAATCATCGTCCAACTCATCCATGGAGCTTTCTGTATTTCTTTATGAGAAAGGAGAGGAGACAGAAATGCTAAGTTTGGCTGCTGACAGACATGAACAGCCCCCTCCCCTCCCCTCCCCCAAAAATACACTTTACCGGAAGTAGCAGTGTGTTACTTGGACCCAACTCTGCAGTGTCTGTATAGATTGGGTGCTTCAGCAGGGCTTTTTGGTGCACCCCCAGAG